GTGTTGACAATACTGCTGAGTTTTCTGAATGTATTTTTTGATGTTTGTTGGTTTGGAATTAAAAACTGAATAATTGAAAAGCATAAGTCAGGATGAATACACGGAAATTTCCACATCACCGAACATAGTTCAAATAAACAAATAAATCCATCATTAGAAAATGAAAAGAAATTGGCACATCTGTCTAAAGCAGACTGTTCTCAAAACCTGAGTGTGATTGTGCAAGAAGGACACTAGTGAAGGAGGCCACCAAGATACCTATGACTCCTCTGAAGGTGTGACAAGCTTCATGAGAGACGGTACATACAACAACTGTTGTCTGTTCTTTACCAGTCAAAGCTTTTTTTTTGTTTTCCCAGCGATTCAGTTCATTGATCGGAGTATTTTTTATTTATTTACAATGTTTTGCCATGAGTCTGGAGAGTAAGAACACTACCTTTAGCTAGGTCTCTGATGCTTGACAGTGCTGCCGGAGGCTGTTCTCTCCTTTCTGTAACCTGTTTTGACCAGAACCTGTGACTGCTACCTGGATGACATTTATCTGCTTAGCAGATTGTACTGTACCACGTAAATCAGTGATGAAGACAGGACAGCTATTTAAAGATGAACATGCTTCACTGTTAAAATAATTCTCAAATGTTCAAATGTAGGTTAAAAAAATCAAACTCCTAATGCAGGTAGAAAAAAAAAACAAAAAAAAAAACATAATCTATCTGAAATACAACACTGAGTGCAAATGGATAAAACCTGAATAGCCCTATGTACAAACAATAGCACACACACACACACACACACACACACACACACACACATACACACACACACAAATATTCCTTTTCAATTACTGGTCTGCACAGTCACTCACGAAGGACTCCCCACAGACCCATTTTCTGTCAGGGAGACGCAGAGAAATAATGAAAAATATTGTGAGGCTAATACTGATTCTATATTTATTGCCATCAATTCTGTAGGTGATTGAGAGCAGTTGCTAGAATCCACAAGGAAATCATACTGTAGGATAAAAAATGAGAAGCATACTCATGTTTTTCATTTGAGAAATGTAGAAGAATGGATACCATGTCAACGCAGAGCTAGATTTGTCTCTTTCCGTCTTCGTGTTGTCTTAGTATTCCCTATGGGCCACACACTAGTTTCACACAGCAATATAAAGCGCATTATTCTGCATTGTCTTGTGAACCGGAGCGGGGAATCTGGTGTTGCTGCAAAATGTGTTAATGAGTAACACATCCTGTCCATTAACAACCAGACCTTTAGAAAATTGAATACATTTTCAATGAACGTACACAAATAGAAGTTAATATGATTTTATTTAGCAGAAACCAGCCAAGTTGACATTTGTGAACAGTGAGCCCATAATGATGGCTGTATTACGCAACCTGTCAGCAAAAATGTCATTGTAAGTTTTAATGAATGACTGTATTGAAGGTATGGTTGCATTGCTTGTTAAAACTACTTATGAAGTGTCAATCATAAGCTTGCATGTGTATCTGATGGACATGTGTTGGTATTTGCTGTTGTGTGTTAAATCTAATATTATGGTGGAGTTCTGTTTGTGGGTTTCTTTAAGTGTCATAGAGAGCACTGCGCAGACATTTTTGGGTACTAAAAGGAAAGTGAGTCTTCTTTTAAAATCAATTACTTTCACACAAACTTTCATCCAAAAAAATAAATCAAATCAATATTTTGTGAAACCACCGTTTGCCTTATAAACAGCAGTTGCGGGACCCATTCTTCTTGTCACTGATGACATATTTTTAAGACTCTGGCTGTACATTTGCACTCGGTGTCATGCTGCAGAGTGTGTTTGTGACTCTTATGGCACTGCATTATAAATAAGATGTTAAACATCTACTAAACCTTTGCAAAGTACTCTCTATGTTTTGACAGCAAAACATGTTGGGTGTCTGCCTGCATTGATGTACATGTGTGGAAAAAGCTGATTGGTGTGATATTGATTTTTAGTTTATTTATTATAACAAAAAAAAAACAATAAACTATAGGCTGACGGGACACATTTCCACCCACCAGGATAGAACAGAAAAATGTTCACAGCTGTCCGTTGTCTAACTAAAGAAAGTAAAGGATCTATGTATTAAACACACAGTTCAATGCTATAACTGATAAAGAGATCCAAGATGGATTGCAACATGCAGTGAAATTACTTGACTCTGCCTGAGCCAAGAATTATATTGCTTCATTTGCCAATAATGCAGCAGAAAGGGTTGTGATTTGTTTACCCTTATCTCCATTATTCCTTTTATGACCTAAAAGCCTGCTGCGAGATGTGTTTTCTCATATTTGGTCATTATTCACGGCAGCAGGAAACATTTCCATTGTAAACACGCATCTCGGATGAGACACTGAGTCCTGAGGATAAAGGTTTCAGACGCGTCCGCCAAAGTGCGGACAAACTCAGATCGCCTCAAGACACTGTTGGTTTTCAGAGCTTGTACCTGTCCGGATGCATAGACAAGCATTTGATGGACAATAATTGACAATTACAAAAGGTTGTGTTGAATGAAATTAAGGTTTTCCTCCCTGAAATGTTCACGGCGCAATACTTGCTTCACACACATTCTCACGGAAAAAGTCATTGTTCTTGTTCACTGCGATATGCTGGAGCTGATGTTCACACTTCTAGGTGTAACATTTATCATTGTCTTTAAGCTTTTGTACAACATGCAGTATTTTATCAATTTTTGAGCTTAGTCTGCACTTTTTGTTCTTCTCAATTTCACCTGTTGAGGCTGGATGCAATGCTACTTTCTTTTATTTATTTGTAACAATTAAAGAGTGCACTGATCTTGGTGTAGTGAAGACAATGATGGCCTCTTTAAAGCCGTACTGCTGCTACTGCATGTCTACCTCATCATTCTGAAAGGAGTAATATTAGTTCCAGTGATTAAACACACCCAAGAGCTTTACATGGTGTTAATTTGGTTCATTTAAATATAAAACATAAAAAGAGGCTTTAACGCTTGCTTAATTTCACTCCCGCAAAACATCACCTTGTTGCATCTATTTTATCACCACCGAAGATGTTGTTTTCTCATCAGGTTAATTATAAACAAGACACACTGAACAACACATTATCATGAAATACAGAGTACACAAAACAGGCCAAGATACAGTTAATTAGATTTGTTGTTGGTCTGGGATTCAACCCCCCCCACCACCACCACCGCCACCGCCATTAGACAATAAAGGTTTTTAGCTACAGCAATTAAATTAGAGACAAAAGCCCAAATCCTAACAGTGTATGTACAGCAGCAGAGAGCTGGGAAATTGCTTTACCTTTGGCAGATGCTTTGTAGATGTTTTCTTGCTTGAACACTAATGATTCTGAACTCTCTTTCCTCCCAGTGACAAATATGCATCACAATGGCATATTGCCTCAAACGGTCTTTTTCCCTATTCAGCTTTAGGTTATAAAACAGAGGCAGGTTAATAATTACTTGGAGCTACAGGCTTCTCAGTGACAGAAAATTACATATTATTCCCAGTTGTCTGCCTTCTAGCACTCAACAATCGCCATGTTCACAGCTCTAAATTGGATTGCCCCAGGTCCTGTCTCAATTCTTGAGTACCTGTTGCACTGTTTCCCCCTTTTAAGCATGCATACCTTCCTTTTAGCCCGGAGCTGTCCATGATAGTTATCGGATGAGTCTCCTGGGATCTCACCTCCCCACAGTGTCACCCCCACGATGGTGTAAGTGATGCCCATCACCACCAAGGGCAGCACATAGACCAGAACTGTCACGATGATATGATACCTAAGAAGAAAGCGGAAAAGTGGTTACATGATGAAATATTTCTATAGAATTCTAAAGTAAGTTTTATGTTTACACATACTAGGCCTTGTGTAATCCCAGTTGTTATCCTGAAAGATAAATGTAGGATCAAAATTGTGAGTGTCACATCCACACTGACTGCGGAATGGTAACATATTGCCTTCAAATTTGCCCCTTTATTCACTTGCAATGTTACCTATGATCGAATTTAACTAAGTAAACGGTTCACAAGAAAGACAGGTGTGACAAAATCCATTCATATTTACATTTTTCCATGTTGCACTATAAACGTTACTATGGCTCAGCATGTCTTTTTAACAATGATCTTGTGTTCTGGAAGCAGTAAACCCTGTTGTGTAACCATTTATATAAACTTGCTGCAGACTTCCAACTGTAATATACAGCAACAACATTTTTAAAAATACAATTAAGTAGTTATTGTAACATACGACTGTTCAATTAAGACATTCATGTTTTCAGTGCTATCAGCTACTTTCCTGCTGAAAGTGAAATAAGAAACCTGACACTGCTGTAATGTCTGAATGGTAAATATGAAGCTACAGCCAGTTAGCTTAGCTTAGCATAAAAACTGACAGCAAGGAGAAACTGCTGGCCTGACTTTATTATTTTTCCAACCATAGTACTCTCCTCTGCTCTGCAGTTTAAAAAGAGCGACTCAAATTGTGAGATGTATCACATTCCATTCATTGCATTAATTTATATAGAGCAAACCAGCATAAATGACCTACACTTGAACTCAGACAAAGCCATGGCAACAGACATAATCTCGCTTTGCCAGCTTGTTCTCGAGAACATAATGGTCCTGCTGTACCTCACTATTATTTCTGCTATAACGGAAAAAACTGAACTCTGGTTTGACTTGTTTTGTCTTTCTTTAAACCAATCGCTGTTGTTGTGGGCGGGGCTAAGCAAGGGATGTGGTTTTAGTGTTCACTCAATATAGTGACGGGAAAATCTGTTTTGGTAAAACATTTGCATGCATGGAGACAAACACTGTGATTTAAATGATTAATACACCAGAAAAAATTATTGGTGCTCCAAATCCTCTGCCAAACTTGAAGTTTTTAGAGTTGTTGGTTTGTCAGCCCGGAGGTGGTTGTTGTTACCCATAGTGAAGATAACAGTAAAACATAGATAACAGAAGGAGAGGACAAAGCTGGCTGGAATGAGCAGCCAAGGGATCCTACATCTTACACCCTGTGACTCAGACTACAACAGCTATGACTCAAAAGAAAAATCACTAATCCATCCACCCTGTTATCTGAAGTCTTGGTGAAAACAAGTCAATATTTCTCACATGAAGGGGTCATGTGCCATGCGGGGCCAGGCCACGTAGCAGAGGGTCCTGTTAGGTACAACTCGGATGGTGGAGAAGTAGCAGAGCGGGAAGGCCAGAACCACAGCCAAGCTCCAGATGCATATGATGACACCCGTGGTGGCCTTTGCTGACAGACGAGGCTTCAGTGGGTGGATGATGGCCATGTACCTATAGGGACGAGGTTGGTTGGTTAAAAAGACATCATTATGCCTAAAACATGTGAGCACATTTAGCTACCCATTGGTTTATTGATTCAATTTTTGTTTTTAAACCAGGCAGTCTCTCAAGATACCTTTACAAGACAGACATGGTCTTTTGTTTGTTCATCTTTCTATTCAGTGTTACTGTTTGGCAGTAGTTGCCCACTCTTGAACTGTTCATTTAAAGGATTTTCAGCGGCCTGAAGAGGTGGAAATAAAAAGTATTTTGCAAGAAAATGGCAAAAATGAGAAAAAGTAAATATTTTGCCTCGCATTTATTTGCATCAATGGATGATTCAGCCAATTCAGCTTCTTTTCAATGACATTTTTTTACATTAAAATTATACTTCATGTTCTTCAAGGTAACCTACTCAAGTTCAATTGCACACTGGTGAAAACTGATGGAGGATTCATTCAAACAAAACAAAACACAAAAAAAAACCTTAGGCGATTTTGTTTGACCGGCACAGTGAAAGGCTCAAAACTGGCAGGAAATTGCCAGCACATGCACCTGAGTCTGAACACTACACGGTTTTCTGATCACACAGGCTTACAGCTGCTAATTCAGTCTTTATAAGAAGGATGGGCTTTGTCCCTTCACCTTAGTGACTGGAACTCTCTGGGGGAGAACAACAAAGATGCCCTGTCTATTCACCAGTAATTGCTTGGAACTCATCTCTTCTCACTGGCCCTTGTTAGACTTCCAATCAAGTGTGTGCCAGAGTAGCAGAGTTATTTAGGATCCAACAAGCCTGCACAGTGGCGGCTGATCTAATGCACTTGTAGCCACTGAACAATAACCACGAGGCAACACAAGTAACAGCTGAATACACTAAAACGGACTACACACACACACACACACACACACACACACACACACACACACACACACTTTTTTTGATATCCAAATACATCAAAGCACATTTACAGAGGTACCAGCATCAACTGGGCATCATCACAGAGACGTTACAGCAGCAGAATAATCAATCTTTTCATGCTTTTTTTTTTCATAACTTGGAATGCTGTCATGCCACAGGCTGCACAGGAGAGCATTCAGACAGCACACTATTTGGAAGCCATGTCACAACGGTGTGACATTACCAAGTAAACAGCCACTGCATCACCACCTATTGTTTAAACAGCAGAGATTACACTGGATGAGACTTCCATCAGAAGCAGCCAGACACTATGTGCACAGGTAAATGTCAAATGTTGGCTCCGATGTTCTCACAGGAGAAGAAAATGTTCACTTCAGCCACGTTCAATTCATAGTATCAGAATTTTTTTTTAGATTATCAACATCTGTCTTTCGCTGCCTTCACAGATTCCACAGGAGTATTTCATCATTTGTAAAGCGAAAACTGTATTTATTGTAGCAAAGTCGACTATTCAAGAACAACAAGGATGTTGTCAAAAAGAGATTGTTTGCTGTAACTGAATTTTGAAAAAATAATTCCTCATTGATGTTAGAATAATAACAAAATTATTATATATACACACAAGTACATCTGTAAAAAATCAGAACATCCCAAAAAAACTTAAAGTCACAATTTTATGTATTCTAGATCCTTTACATAAGGAGTGAAACAGTTCAAGTCATTTTTTTGTTTTAATTTGGATGATTATGGCTTATAGCTCATGAAAATTAGAAATCCAGTACAGTCGTGTCTCCATAATCTGACCCTTAACAATCTGAAAACCTTGCTATCCGACAGGTTGTTAGGAAAAACGAACGGAACCCATGAGAAATAGCCATAACATGCCGACAGCCATGGATTCCGACTCCAACATGACATTTTATGTCACAAATAACGATAACGGCGAATTATCTGACTCAACAATCCGACAGATTGGCAACAGTCAGACTGTAGGACTTAATGCTCAATTCAGATTTTTTTGTGAAATCTGATTTTTTTGCGAGTTCGTTCACATGTCCAATTAAGTACGACTTGTATGTGATTTGCTGTATGAACGTCATACAACCCAAAAGTGTCCCGCATGCACAGAAGAAGACACAACGATGTCACACACAGCGAGTGCACTCAGTGTTTGCGTAAGTAAACACCGATGGTAACGGTGGACGGCTCGACCTCCGTCTTGACAATGCGACAGCCTTGCTATTCGACATAAAAGAAGGTTTTACATTTAGTGTTGGGTTATCGAGCCACGACTGCACATCAGTTAGATTATGTGTTTATCTCTTGGTCTAATTAAGTACACACAACTGCAATCATGAGGAAGACTGCTGATGCAAAAGTTGTCCAGAAGACGATCATCAACACCTTCAATGATGAAGGGAGGCCACAGAAGGTCACTGCTGAAAAAGCTGGTTGTTGGCACAGTGCTGTATAGAAGTATATTAATAGGAAGTGGTTGGTGCACAAGCAACAAGTGTTACCACAGCCTTGAGAGAATCAGCAGGAAACGTTTGACGCCTTGGGAGAACTTCACAAGCAGAGGCTGGCATCAGTGCATCAAGAGTCACCGAGCACAGACGTCTTCAGGAAAGGAGCTACAACCGATGAAAACCTAATAACAAGCCACTCCTGAACCACAGACTGTTGCTCAGTCGTCCAAAGCCTACTTTTCAGATACAAGTACATTGGAAGTTAAGGTCCTATAGTCCAGATAAAGACTGGAGAGGCACAGAATCTAAGGCATTTGAAATCCATTGTGAAATTTCTGCAGTAAGTGATGATTTGTGTCTTGTCATCTGCTGGCGTTGGTCCACTGTGTTTCATCAAGTCCAAAGTCAACACAGTGTCTAACCAGGAGATTTTAGAGCACTTCATGCTTTCATTCGCTGACAAGTTTTATGGAGATGCCAACTTCCTTTACCAGCAGGATTTAGCACCTGTCCACAGTGCCAAAAACGACCACCAAACGGTTTGCTGACCATGACATTACCGTGCATGATTGGCCAACCAACTCACAACACCTGAGCCTCATATGGGGCATTATCAAAAGGAAGATGAGAAACACTCGACTCAAAAATATAGACGACCTGAAGGCCGCTATCAAAGCAACATGGGCTTCAATGGAACCTCAGCAGTGCCACGGGCTGATCGCCTCCAGGCCATGCCGCATGGATGCAATAGTTCATGTGGTGGAGGAGCCCCAATCAAATATTAACTGTATAAATGAATATACTTTTCAGAAGGTGAACATTTCTGTATTATGAATTTTGGATTCATTTTAGCAAATATTCTAAAAAATCTAAGGATTTCTGATTTTCATGAGCAACAAGTCGTAATCCTCAAAATGAAAACCAAAAAAAAATGACTTAAAATATTTCACTATACATGTAATGAATACAGATGATATGAAAGCTTACTTTTTTTTTTAAAAAAACCTAACTTTTTCACAATGCTCTTTTTTTTTGAGATGCACTAGTATACACATTATTTATAAAGTATGAGATATGGTAGCAATCCCATGTTGTGATATCATGAACCTTCAATGCTGTTACCTTTCACACAGAAACCTGCGTTTCTTTTGCTGCAGTGCCCAAGGGAACACACTTGGCAGCTGAGAGAGTCAGCAGGAAGGACAAATTCACAGATGATCACGAACTGTGGCCTCATGCCATTTCAAGACATCAGAGCGGAGACAGCACCATACCGGGGTTACGAGAAACATGACCGGAGGTTACATCTACATCATGTAGGTCATGCCGATGTTCTCTTTCTCAGTACACAGTTGACAAAATTGAATGGACACTGCAGACCAAAAATACAAACGCATGGAAGTTGCTGTAGAGGAGCCAAAACGAGCGTGGCCCGAGGAAGTGGATTGTTCCATTTGTGTGTCAAGGAGAAGTAGTGGAAGAGGAAAACACCTCACACAATATCAGAACACAATGTGACACATGGACTCGGGTTGCAGATACACACTGTGCTCGCTTGCAGCCTCTACAGGCGTTTTGTTTTCATTATGTGGCCGCCTGTGGCTGCTTCCTTCATCTGTTTAATCCCTTTATTCAAACATTATGACGTATGACGGTCCACTGATCAGTATCAAAGCGTGGCTGATAGTGTTGACTGCATCTTCACATAACTGGAAACCACAGGGGGAAGCAAAGAAAGAAAAAAAAAAAACGGATGGAGAAACCAAAAAAGAAAGTGAATGCGTGAAAGAGCAGAGATGGTGTGTAGTTTGAGTGCATTAGGCAAGAGAGTCAAAGCGTGTAAAAGCATGAAGGAACGGGTGATCTTAGGCACACTTAGAGTCATTAGCTATGCAGCAGCCTCAGCCTGTGATTCATTTGCAGTGAAACGTAACAATAAATATTCAATATAGGCCCACAGTGTGTGAGATGGTGGTCACCCTGCAGATGAACAACCTCTCAAGCACAAAAATGCAAATGACAAACAAGTAATTACTGACTCCTCCAGTGGGAACTGAAATAAATGTAAATAGCAGGGAGCTAAAAGTGGGATTAAATAATGTGGGGACAAAGTGTAAAATGCCAAGAGATGAATTTCAATTAAACTGGTGTGGACGCCTTGTGAAGTGAATTCCTATGTGTGCATTAAATAGCTTTAATTGCACAAGCTTTCTTAAATGGAGTGCAGTTTGACTGCAAGCAAGGCACAACACTGATATGAGATTTTGTGTGTGTGTGTGTGTGTGCGCGCGTGTGGCACAGGAATCAATTTTCCACCACGACTAGTGGAAACCAGAATAGTCAAGTGGAATAATCAGGAACAAAATGTCCAAAAACATCAAGCATGAACCCCTTGGATCAAAGTGTCTGAGTGACAAATATGCTTCTACCTTCTGTGTAGCTTCAAATATTCATGTTCTGTTCATGTGTTCCGGATATTTCATGGCTGCTTTGATGATTAAGGTGTGTTGAGGATAGCCTGTGTTAAAATGGAATATATTCCACTTCCATGGCTGTGGAGGGACAGCAAATACCTCCACAGGCTTATCATAGTGTTGGTATTTCTTTATTTACTACACACACACATAACACTGAATGCTATTTATTCCAATATGGAAAAGATTTTTTAGAAACCCTTGAAAAATAATTTTTACTCCTTTAATAAAAATGTATTTGATTTTCCCTTTCAGAACTGATCACTTGTAGAGAGACAGTTGGTGCTGAGGTGCGTGGTGACGCTTTGGCATCGTTTGTTAAACATTATTCTTGCAGCATTTGATGAACCCACCTGTCCACAGCTATGGCAGTCATGGAGTAGATGCTTGCAAACACGGATGTGACCGGGAAGAAGTTGTGGAATTTGCAGTACGCCTCGCCGAAGTACCACTCTCCGTGAGCAGCGTAGATAAAGTTTATCAAAGTGTTGAACGCGGCCATCGACGCGTCCGAAAACGCCAAGTTTAGCAAAAAGTAGTTGGTCACCGTCCTCATGCGCTTGTGGGCAAGAATGATCCAAATCACAATGAGGTTTCCAAACACCGCCACCGCCAGCACAGAGCTGTATGCGACCGACCAAAGAGCGATGCGCCACGGCGGCTGCACGAACTGGTTAGTGTAGTTCGTCGTTACGTTGGATCCGTTGTGTGGAGCTGCCATCCTTTCTCTGCCTTTTTCCCACGATTGTTGTGGAGCCTTCGGTTGTTACTGTTAATCTGATCTACCTACAGGAGCTGGAGAGTTAGGAGAGGATGCAGGCGCCATTGCGCGTAAGTTAATCACCGCTAAGAAAACCCCCCCAAAACAAAACAAAAAACAAAACGCATCCTCTTCCAAGATCCCAGTCTGAAACCGCCCACCGCAACTTTGAGTGTTAAACTAATAAAACGCGTTGAAACTGTTGGATGATGCTGTGAAGTATCACTCCCTGCCTGTTGAATGTGAGTGTGAATGCGCAGCTTCTCCTCCAGCAGCAACAGGCAGGGCGCCGTGCGCACTCGGTGACGCACAAGTGGCACAAACAGTGAACGAGATTGATTGATACTTGTGGCTGCTGTTTCAAACTTCATGAATAACAGATGGTCCGCGCTGTCTCTCTCCTCAGTACATAATCAGTCAGCGCACACTGGTTTTTATCTTCACTAACCTGCCATATGATCTTGTGTCAGCAGCATTTCAGAGGAGACGCAAACAGGATATTGAAATATTATAGACACTGTCTCTCTCTGAAACACTCCATACAGCTCAGTACCATCTCCTTATGTTCAATCTTCCACTGCTATGCGATTTTATGTCCACATAACCACCATTTTAAGACAGTTCTGTCCTTATGCCTCTCTTATTACGGTCCTAAATCAGCTCCTCCAGCATGAATAGAGATGTGCAGTGCTGCATCACTCTGCTGGCCGAAGTGGCTGAGACTGTCCTCCTTCTCCATCAGATTGACATGCACAACTAACAGGCTAAAGTTCCCCCCAGATATCCAACCACTCACATCAGATAAACCTCCCTCATCTGCTTTCATAGCCGGTAGTGCTATGGTAACCACATGGGTTGCTTTCACATCTATTCTGAGGCTGATCAAATCCAATCAGTCCAGTACAGCTTTTTGAGCAGACCTGAATCCTTTCACTTTGTTCTTTGAAACAACGCCTACCCAGGTATTAGTCCATGGGAGGGTTTCATTTCACAGTTAATTGGATTCTCCACAAACCATAACTTTAAACTCAGCTTTATATCAGTGCGAGAAAATAAGCAGGCGTTGGGCCAGTACTGGCTCTGCATTTCAATATTCCAGAGCAGCGATAAGACACGGTCGCTGTGCAGCACAAGACTGCGCTACAGTGATTGCAGTCCAATGTAGGTCTTGCTCGTGGTGTCATGCCAATGTGTTATTTTGTGTTGGAGATATATGACCACACGTATTGAAATGCGTCATATGTAAGGTTTACAGAGAGATGCAGGTGCATAAAAAGTAGCAAAGGGCTTCAGGCTGCTGATACCATTACATTCCTATGTTAAAAATGAAAGTCTTTTTCTCACTGTTTGCTTTCTAATGCCTCTTACAGTAAGCAAGTAATTATGTTTCAGTAATTGAAAGAACAAAAAACAAATTACCTGTAGTTAAGTAGTCACTGAATCATTACAAGATGTTAAAATGGTGTTGTAGTTATTTAAAACAAGGGCTGCTATGTGTTAGGCTCAAACTACATCAAGAGGAGCATTTTGTTCTGCTTTGCAATCCTGCATGTTAATGCTGATTGAAATTCATATCACTGGCAATTTTGAATTTTTGTCCCCCCTGGATATGTAAATCCTGCCAAAACTTTAATAATAAAGCACTGTGTGTGATATGAAAATAGAGCATGCATATTCAGCAGTTTAGTTAATAGGAATTCATATTTATGTAAGTATGGACATTGATATGTGCACTGGTTTATTTTGTGTTATTTCTGTGAAATACAAAATATATATATATATACATTTAATGAGCAGTATTTGATCTACATTTGCCCTAAACAAGCTTAGTAAATTTATGTAAAGAGAAAAAAGCTCAATTGTGAACAAATCTGTACCTACAGTATGATATATATGTTGCTGTAACAACTCACAGACCACATGGACCTCATCGTTCTGGCTTTCACTTGAGACTCTGATTAGTACTAGAAGCTGGTTGTTGCCACTTGTCCACAGAACAATCTCAGCAACCGTTATTAAAGGGGAGTGGAAGTCCTGCTACTGATATTGTGATTGAAAGGATGCATATGGCAAGAGGAATACGCTGAGTTGCACACACATTCTTGACAGCAATTTCCTTTAACATCCTGGTTTGCTTTTTGCAAACAGGATTCAGACAACATGTTAAGGTCTTTCAGTTCAACATATTTATTGATCCTGAGCTTTATGATGAGTTCCCTTCAGAGGCTCTGCACACCCATAACTGCAGAACTATAAAAGCAGTGACGTGGTGCCGAAGCCACAGTAAGTACATTTTAATATTTTAGAGGTGTTCTGATGGAAATATTAAGTTTGACTCGCTAATGAACACTGCTAAATTATATTCTAGGATTGTTAAAGGAAGACTCAGACTTTACAATTTCATCCTGGGAGGTATTGAATTGCTTGGATAAAAGGAGGAAATTTGATATTTTTGGGCCATTTTTACCCTTTATTCACTGACAACAGAGTCAGACTGGAAGAAAGATGAGGACGATATGCAACAAAGGTCCACAGTCAAAAATCAAGCAAACATCGGGGTTTTGCATCTTAATACAAAAGGCACAAAGAATGCCCCTGAAATCTATACTTTGTAGGCAAAAAGTTCAGCCTACAAATACATGACATTTTGACACTTTTGAGGTTTCATGATCCATACTGTGTACAAAATGTGGGATATTATATATTGACAGCCATCTGTGACAAAGCTGGGCAAGACAAAAGATCCTTAGGTAGAAACAAAACCCCACTTAATTTGTACGTGATGCATGCAAAATCCAATCTTGGCTCCTACCTATTGTCTTCTTTGATCATTATAATACCAGTTGCCTGCTGAAGTGCTGTGGACTCATTGTCTGGCAGCCAAAGCCCAGTGATGTATGTGTTGTAGGACAGAGACTTCATCGTTGTTATGTAATTAGATTTTCTGACATGAAGTGTCACTCTTTGCCCATCTCTAATTACATATTTGTTGTGAAAATATCAGGGCAGCAGATATGTAACGTCAGCTGCAGCCTTGCTGTCAGCTCATTTAACAGCTGCCTCTGTGGTGTGTCAGAACTCGTGTCAGGCCTCCAGGCTATTTGCTTTGATTAATTCAAAAAGTAACCAGGGACAGCAATTTATTTGCTAATGAAAGAGCATTGCCTCTCTATTATTTCCTCATTAGTCCTTACCTCAGACATTAACAGGTGAAATTGTCGTTCCTTAAAAGAATATTATGCAAGAGCTTTACTTTGCGGCTTATTGTACTTTTTATTTTTTGTGCAAAGTGAGTGGGACTATTGACCAACAGGGGACAGTCACACAGTAATCAATTAAATGCTATCAGAGGGCATGTTTGTGCTACTGAAACATTTTGACACAGATTTAGAGTCAAGACAGTTTAGCCTCACCTAAAATGAGCATTGATTAAGGTATTCTCCATGCAGATGGACAGTTGTCTTGCTGCTCTAAATGTGCATCATAGGCCTTGGTCACAACCGGCTGTACGGGCTCCTACGGCCTGTCTGCGTCCCAAATATGTGCAAAATGGGATGTGCTACGCAAGTCCATCTTGCAAAATTTCGAAGTCGCAGACATTCCGTAAGCACGTAGGGAGGATCTTTGACATGTCAAAAAGATTCTACGAATTCTCTGCAAACAGCGACACAATAAGTGTATCTTGCTGCACCTGCAAGGAGTTTGCGAGTGAGACATGCACATTTTTAAGGCACCATGGGAAGAAAGTCTGTGGTCTAAGACACAGGTCGCACTAAGTGAGACAGCCCCGTGTGCGTAAAGCATGGTGCACACACTCACAACTCATGAACAAAACTGAATGCATTGTTGGGTTCTCTATTTGTCATGTCTATACCTTACTATGTTAAATGCTGTGTGATAACCACAGATGTTCACAAGTCTTTTTTTGCAAGTCCAAGTTAAGTCTCAAGTCTTTGTGGGGTGAGACTTGGTCAAATCTCAAGTCTTTGATCACGAGTCCAAGTCAAGTCTCTAAAAAAATAAATCTCTCATGTCTCTTTTTGTTTTAATGAGCCCTCTATCATCTGCTGCTATTTGGTCTACTAAGAATACTGCACAGTTATATCTAAGGAATTCAAAGCATCTACTGTATTATTATCCCTCCTTTATCTATTAGCATAACGTATCAGTACTGATTACTTGTTTGTTATATGATCACTTTAAACAGGGTCCTGCAATGCAAGATGAAGAAAACACACAATGAATGACTTCCTTTAAAGGAAACTGTGTTCTTCCAACATGAACATACAGTTACAATATATCTTGCCCCCTATTGTGCAGGCTCAGTCGGACTATGATAAGAACAAAAATACAGAAAATGCTACACCTCACCCAGTCAAAGGCATTGTAGGCTAATTAACATCCTTCGAAGTAGTGCAAAACATCACACTTTAGCGAAATGCAAACAACTTGTAAACAAAACACTTAAAAGTACTTTACACACTTGTATATGTTACTTCTGTGCCATTTGCAATTAAAAAAATGCTCACAAAAAAAGCAAAACTATTGCTGCCACCACTAAAACTGTAAGTCTATAAACTGGTGATATCAAAACGTGACCAGATTTGTTCCAACAGGCACCTTTCTTTGCATGACAAAAATGATTCCTTGCATAAAAGTAAAACTCAAAAAGGAATATCATTCACGTTATTGGCTATCTGAACTTGTTTACTAATGAAACAATAACCTTTCTGTGGAAACAATTTTTTGTTTTGCCGAGAACAAAATATTTAACACTAATAAACCTACAATAAGATCAGAATGGTTTATCTCATTTTTCTAGTAATACACTGGCTAAACATGAACAAGCTTGTAGGTGTCTTCCAGAGGCCTACTGTAAGATCTAGAAAAGTATTAGGCAACAGAATGGTGACATTTTAAAAAGATCAAGCTGGACAATGTCCTTGCACTAAGCCTGGCTC